TCTTCAATATGTTAATCTTAAATTAAAAATGACACAAAGACAGTGGTTTAGTATTTGCTTTCTAAATCAGTATTCCTCTCCTGCCTCAATGCCACAAGCTGTATTTAAAAAAAAAAAAAGACAAAAAGAGAAGAGATGACTCGGGGTTCAGCAAGGACCAGCAGGCAGCAGATCAGGAGTCTGCTTCCACCCCAACCCCAAGTGTCTGAAGATGAATACTATTAACAGAGTTGAACTTCTCTGTTCGTACATCTTCAGAGATTTCTGGAAAACAACACAAAAATCTGTTTTCAACAATGTGAAACCATTCTGTTAGAAGTCAGAGCTAGACTGAGCTTAAATGGCATCAATTTAAATGGCACCAAGAGGGAGAGGAATTTCCTGGAACAGAGAAACATTGTCAGGCACTGCACAGAGTTGTCATCTAAACTGTATTTTCTTGACTATAGATAAAAATAGACAAAAAATGCCTTTGCATTTTTAGATTATACATAATTGCCTTCCTAACTACAATAAGAAAAAGCCAGAAAGCAGCCATAACACTCCTTTTTTCCTCCTAGTATTAAAGGAACTAAAGACTTAAAGGAAACTAAAAACTTTATTCTTTTTCCATTTAGACTATCCTCTCCATCTCCTAATAAACAAATCAGCAGCAACGAAAAAAATGCAGCTTTTAAATTCGACATTTTTGCATCATTTGCCAGAGTGGTTTTAGTATTGCTTCCTTTACTGCTGATCTTTTTATGTTGATTTCAAACAAGACATTACAAAAAGAAAGAATTTAAATCAAATTCAAAATGTGTGTCTTGAGAGATGAGAAAGATAAGTGTCAAACGACAGAATGACTTTGTTCAGGCTCCAGGCAAATGATGAGGTCCTACTGAGATAAAGGTAACTGAACAGAACATAAGAAACTACTGGAACTGGAAACATCTGTGTCTAGAACTATCAAAGTGTTTATTTACAAGAAAAGTATACATTTTCTGATGCATAAACAATAAAATGAAAACAACACCCTTTACTGATAAATCCTTTTGCTGCTTATCTGAGAAGCATTAATAATTTAGTTTATAATGTGTCTATATATGCGTTAACTTTTGAAGTATGCTCACTGTAATAAGTAAGTCTCAAATTACTGAAGGTAGAATGCTTACATATATTACTGTAACAGATGGTTTTCACCTGGTGGAAAAGTACCATTCAGTATAAATTTCAGTACGTTACTAAAAAAAGCTTCACTGCTCAAGTAAGAACGAAGTCAGGGTATTTATCACACTTGAAATGACCAACTGTTTTCGTAACCATTCTGCAGGGTGCATCGCTGTAACAGCACATATTATTCACCCAAAATATCTCTCATACAACAGAGCAATCACAAGCAGGGAGAGCACAAATGGCACTCATTTCAACTGTCTATTGTGTACGTATATCGCAAGTTGCAGAAATCAGCGTGAGGTGCTAACGCTCAAAGTTCACGCAGCACATGCACACAGACTTCTGCCCAATGCAAAGAAACATGTTCAGTGAGAGCTAAGGCAAGGCTCCTTCTAAACTTATCTGAACTGCACACAAACCAAGCAGGCACAATGCAAGAGTCACCTGATACACCCTGCTGAGTGAAAAGCTTATCTGAGATGCCGACTTAAAATCCTTTTAATTGCAAATCAAAAGTAGCTGATTGTTATTGTTTGCTTACCAGTACTGCATGGAGAAGAGACTGGACTGCAAAGAAAGCCAGCTACCAGAAGTAAAATGGATTTAAGTAAACAATATGCTACGTAATCAGCTGCTTAATGTCTTGTGCAATGCTGGCTAAAGCAATCTTGATTACTGACTAACCTGTACCTTTCTTCTGCCTTTGCTGGATTAAGGCTAACAAAGTGCCAGATTAAAAAAAAAAAAAAAAGAAAAAAGAACAAAAAACCCCACCCAAAAACACACACCAAAAAACACAAACAAAAAACTCCCCCAAAATCCTCACACAAACACAAAAAAACCCCCAAACAAACAAAAAAACACCTCCCACAAACAAAAGAAAAAAGGTTGGCAATTTCTAACTACAGTTATTCCTCAAAAAGACAGATTTTTTTTCTTACCAAAAGGCCTATTATCATATTTAGCTCGTAAGAAAATATTATGTAAAGCAATTTCTTTAGCTGACTCTGAGCATAAATTAAAGCAACTCAAGAAATACTCCAATCTGTCCATCTGGTGACAATATAAAAGATATGAAAACAGTAGGTGGGATGAAAGCACTATATATAAGCATGTGTAACAGGAATTCAAGTCGGCATAGAAATCTATATACACTCTTTATGCTACCAATGAGCCTCTATAGTACAACGATACTCTTTTTGCTAACAAATGTCTAGAACCTGGCACAGATACTGTGCAAAATAACTGTAATTACAAAATAATCTAGGTCATAATCTATGTTTGTGTTAAGAAATTTTTTTATGCACTGGGCTCTACAAAAGGGCAGGGGGAAATAAAAAAAAAAAAAAGAGTAAAAGCAGAAGCAAGCACCCATGGGAAGGCTGCCTGCTGTTTAAGGCTGGTTTATCCAAGATGATGAACTGACACCAGAGGCGAAACAGGGCCAACTGAACCTGTATATCTTACTCCAGCGAGGCCACAACTGTATCTGCATCAGTGCTTCCCACTAGGACGTAGTAGTCAGATATAAAGAAATACAACTAAGAGGATGATTGCACAGAATCCAGTATATCAACAGTTGTTTCAACAAAAGGAAGGAGAAGTTAAGCCCATTAAAAGCAAACAAACAAATCCATGGAAGTGCGTACAGGGGTTGGAATGGGGGTGAAAAAGAGAATAATATAGTGTAACTTGAAAAAGAAGAGAAAAATCTCATCATTTATACTGAGTATTGGTGGAGTATTGTACAGAAATACTTAAGTCCACTAGATTGGTTATTAGTTCTTCATGTCCACTGCCTCATATTTATTTAATAAACAGCTTTACATAGGGTGACTTTTGTACTAACAAACACAAATTTTTAATCCTCATCTATTCTAAAAGTTATCTTTATGAACTGCTTCCTTCTGTATTATCTCACAGGTTAGCAGTTAAGTCCTTCTCATAAAAAGAATAGAGTCCTACCTCACAGAATATAAATTTTTTAAAGAAAAGAAACTCAACACATTGAAATATACAAGTAATTAGTATAATTTTATCAGAATTTTCTGATGTTTGTGTGGAGACACCTTATATATTTTTCACATATTTACATGTATTTTCCTTAAACTTAAAGAAATAATGGGTTGTCTAGTAACTCAATTTTTAAAAAACCAAAACAAAACACATGCCCTTGAACTGATATATTCTGAAAATAATGATTTGCATAATACTACAGCATCCTACTTTTTATGACAAATTACCTTCATGCTTTAATCCATACTCCTTGTGCTGTTCTGCCAGCTGTTGCTCACTTCTCTTGCAAATGTAACATCTAAAAACAAAAATACCATTTGGTTCCTGAAAACAAAACTATTATCCAGTTCAACTTTTTTGTTTTACCCAATCATTACAAGAGCTTCCCCCACCACAAGATGCAGCATGGCACTGACAACCCTGATGCGGCATGATTCATGATAGCCCTGCAGGCAATATAGGTACTGGAGTACAGTGCTGAAGATCACTGGATGTTAGAAATTAACAGCATCACAGAGCCGTAAAATCACATAGGTTGGAAGGGATCTCTGATGTGGTCTAAACCTCAGCTTAAAGCAGGGCTTAAAGGATCGGGTTGTTTAGTGTCTCATTCAATCAAGTTTTAAATATCTGCAAGGGTAGCACAAGACGTCTGGGCAACCTGTTCCAGTATTTGACTGCTGTGACAGTGAAGGACACTGACATTCTGGAGCGAGTCCTTCATCTCACAAGTGCTGAGTACAGGGGAAGAATCACTTCTCTTGACCTGCTCACTTCTCTTTTACTTAGAAAGCCCAATATATGGTTGGGTGTTCCTCGCTGCAAGGACACACTGCTGACTCGGGTAAAACTGTTGTCCACCAGGATCCCAAAGTTCTTTTGGCAGAGCTGCCTTCCAGATGGTCAGTGCCCAGTCAGTGCTGTCACATGGGACTATTCCACCCCAGGTACAAGACATCTGCTCTTTCTGAACTTCAGGAGGTTCCTATCAGCCACTTCTTCAGCCCACCAAGGTCCCTCTGAATAGCAGCCCTGACTTTCAACATGTAAACCACTCCTCACAATCTGGTATTATCCATAAAACTGCCAAGAGTGCAATCTCTGCCATTGCCCCAGTCATTAATAAAGATGTTCCACAGTATTAGCCCCAGTATTGATCCCCGAGGGACACCATTAGTAACTGGCTGCCAGTCAAGGCTTGGTACTCACAACCTTTCTAGTCTAGCCAGTTTTCCACTCATCCACTTATCTAGTCCACACCTCATCAATTTTGTTTTAATACTACTGCAGGAAAGACCTTGCTAAAGCCAAGGTATGCAATATGCACTGTGTCCAGCCCTACTGCCCTTCCAGCAATGATCAAGATTACAAAATCCCACGTGAAGCACCAGGCATATTTTAGTTCCTGACTGAAACCTGGATGACAGCTTTCTCCCTCTGGAGATTCCCCTGATCAGGACAGTTGTTCCAGCTAGTGCTGGAGACTGATCTGTAGCATGTCACAGCATTATTACAGCAGTCTCAATAAATTCCATGTAGTTTCTGGCTCCTCTGTATGCTGCTGTGCTATTTGCTTTTGTGACAGCTACTATATCTCTGGCAGCTTCATATATAAAGAAGAATAATAAACACTAGTGCGTAACTTCAAGCAGGTGAAAACAAAGAGAAAGGAAGGAACACTGGGAGATTAAGATAGGCCCTTTGATTGGAGAAACAAGTGAAGAGTATCACACAGGATTTATACAGCACAATAATAGTCTATAAAAAACACTAACAGGCTGGTTCCTGAAAGGACCTATCCTCAGGACAAGCCATGCCAGCTGTTGTCATGGCACTAAAACAATTGCTAAAATTGTTAGATCCAATTGCAATGTGAACATTTGAGAATTTTTGAATAATGATTTCAATTTGTATAAGCTATGAGGCATCCATTTATTAGCAGTAACACAGCATAGTACCCTCAGCATCTTGTAACTGGGTACTGTGTTATATTTTCTTTCATTTAAAACTGGGGGAGGAGGGACACCAGTTAACAAAGTTTTATTACATTTTTGTTTACTAACCTGATAAAATGAGGTGTTCTCTTTAATGAGTCAATAAACTTTATTAAAAGCTTGTTTTTCAGAGTTAGTGTTTTGATATTAAAAACATTGCTGTGATTTCTATTTATGTATAGGCCTTTTCAAAATAGTTCATGTCAAATATTCAGAAATAAACATTAGCCTACCCTGTTCTGCAGCTATCTTTATCTCGTGGAGATCCCACTGTGTGTTTTGCTGGTTGAAAATAAATTGTTCCTTCATAGTAATGATGAGAAAGAAAAGTCTTGAAGCCTACATAAAAAAGGTATTAAGCAGCATTTTCATTATAAATCCACATTGCGAACATCTCTGCATACATCCCTTGACTGTTCCTCTCTTTTCATCTCTAAGGACTGCAAACAATAAATGTTCTCCTCAAGCTCACAAATATTTGTGCTATGATGTTTTAGACTGTAAAGGACAAGGAAATAACCTCTCCAACTTTTTAACATTTGCCAATAGTGCCATTACTTTGCTTGACATCTTTTAAGATACAACTAAAAATTTTAGCTGTACATCACTGCTGAATCTTAAAATTAGCCTACAATACTTAAAATCTGGTTTTGTATCTTCTTTCTCTAACACAAAACAAATCAAAGGAGGCAAAAAATACCTCCCAAATATCAGCTAACTAGGCTAAAATCTATCATCAGTGCTGGAGGGACAAAATTAACAATCCATTACATCAGCTGAATGTCCAAGACAGAGGAGTGCCTATCTCTCTCTAACTGATTGAAAATAAAGTAAAAATAATTAGCACAAAAAAGATACTGCTTTTTAGGCAACTAGGTAACATAGAGCAAGATATTCCTACTAATAAGACAGAACATTGCTAGCAATTTTATTAATAAAAAAGCTTATGAAACAAATTTGTATTAGGGTTACTTCCAATATAATTTCTAACAGTTCAATATAAACTTTTTATTTATTTAGAAAGCTCACAAAATACTTAAAATATTAACTATGAGATAATTTATTAACTGTACTATACAGTCAAACTCAACACAACTTTAAAGAGCACACTGTTAATGTTATTCCCAAGTTATGGAGCTTTACATAATGTGATCCAACGTACTTGGTACCACAAGGAGTTTGAAAATCAGGTTCAGTCTGCCTCTTATGTTTAAAAGTTTCAGAGAAGCTTGGTTTGAAGAGAGTGCATCCAATATGTTTATATGGTGACAAAAGAATGGAATAACTACACAAGTTACCTGAGTAGTCATATCTCATTGGACCCATCCACCGCTTCTTTTCGCTATCTTTTAATAAATCTCCATAAAAACCGTAACCCAGCAATGATACAGAGTACTTCAAAAATGTGTTGTTATGATGCACAGAAGAGACATCCAGAGGCTGACAGTCACCTATGAAAATCAGAAGTGTAAAGTTCTATTAAGGCTTATTTTGTTTGCAGCTGCAAACAGGACAGTAAATTTAACGTTACAGATTTTTTAAAAATAAACAATATATGTTGTCTTTATATCATAACATATGTCATATACCCATATATATTTCTTATATATGCAGAAAGGGAGAAATAATTGTTAATACTAACTTCATTTAATATTTCAAAAGCATTAAGCACTAAGTGAGAAGAAAGGCTCGTATGCTAAAAATATGTAATGAAGAATTTACACTCGTTTACCATATAGCAGTAGGAGAGGAAGTTCTAGAAGAGATCAACGCAGTCCCTTTATATCTACCAGATGCTACATAATCCTGTATGTCATACCATCATAGGATTAATTCAAGCTTGAAGGGGCCTTAGGAGGTTTGTCATCTAGTCTCCTACTCAAATGAGATTCAGCTATGAGGTCAGATCAGGTTACTGAGGGTTTATCCAGGCAAGTCCTGAAATCTCTAAGAACAGGGAGAACACCACCTCTCTGGCGCCCTCATAGTGTAAGCTTTGGAGTGCTGGTAGGCTGGGGGGAGGGGGGTGGT